ATTTATATTATAACTATATTTATAAATTCCGCAATATTGTGAATTTTAAAAAATAATAACGGATCCATCTTTAATTGCAATATCTTTTCTTAATGAGCTGATATGTTTATTTTCAATTTCTGCAAGAAAATAACAAAAAAAAGAAAGCACTTTCTGTCTTTGTATAACAGTTTGATCCACAAGACTCTTACCACTTGAATTGATCAACTTTTCAAGCATATTAAAAAATAGTCTAAGATTAGGGTCCTTAGACTCCATATCTATTCTGAGTAATTCCAATCATAAATTGGCAATTCCTTTTCTTTTTTTTCTCTTGCATAAAAAACTTGTGCTATTGATTTCACATTTTTAATAAAATTAATTTCACCAACTCTCTTATCATCTTTTACCTCTGATGTCTTTTGTTCCAAATCAATATCTATTATCAACTTAGGTTCACCATCATGATCAATTTCCATGATCATGATATCATCTAATTTCCTTTGTCTTTTTAAAGTTTTTCTAATATTACCATTTATAATATATTTCATGTAATGGTTATGATAATATTGTGTAATATCTAATTGTCAAGTAGTATCTAAAGTTTGTGTTGTAAGGCTTTATGTTTAGCATCTTTTGTAAATCTCTGAAATTTAAATTCAGTTCCTTCTACTTCACATATAACACATAGTACAATAAGTTTCTTCTGCAAATACTGCTTTGAAATTTCCATTATAATATTCGGAATTGCTTATTTTAAAATATGTGATTAGCGGGATTATTTTCATTAATATGTTGTAAATGACGTCTACAATAATAGTATCATAGTTTTTTTTATTATTATATAAAACAATTATCAAAAAATCTGATGCTAATATATTACTTTAAACTATATGAATAGTTACATTATACATTTATTGTATAACAGCCAATTATGCAAATGTCTGATATACTTATAAGAACTAAAAAATTCTGAATAATAAAAAGTTTGCAAAAATGAAATAATATTAATAATTATTCAGCTCTTAACATTTAATAAGATACTTTTAAAATGCTAGCAGAAATAAAATCATGAGTAATAAAGCGTTTTGAGTTTATAATATATTATAACTGTTATTGACTATAAGAAAAATAGATAATGGAATTTTCTACGTCTCCTTCCTATTACCCGATATACCAATATCATTATATTAATTTTATAGTTATTATTATTATTTTAAATAAAATATTTCTTTTATATTGCTACGCCATATTCATTAACCAATTGCAAGTATCTAAATTCAAAGAAATTAATAAATTATATATTTTTAAATTTAATAAACTTAACTTTAATAAGTATATATATATATACAAACGATTCAAGTATATTTCTTATTGGTTTATTCACTAAGTGTACTTAAATAAATAGCATTTATCATGTATTTATTTGAATCTAGTTTTTAGCTTTAGAAGTATCTGTTTAGGTAAATTTATATATAAGTTCTAATATAACATTAGTATTATTATTATTTTGCAATATCACTTTTTCTGAACAATTTCTTACATTAATTGAAGTTTCTAAGAAAAGTTTAGATGTTATCAGTCTTATTAAAGTAATAGTCAATTCCTTCTATATATTAGTTTATTGCATATCCTGATTTTTAAAATTGGTTTAAATCAGAATATTTAGCTATTTTAGAATTTTTCATGCTTGTCAGATTTTCAATTCTAGAATTTATATAACAAATTTTAGGCTTAATTTGTTTTATTTTAGATTTTAAAATTATTTATTTATAAAATCTTTCTAATTTTTACATTATAATTAATCAAACATTACTTTCTCTTTAGATACCAAGCATATTATTATATGTTGTAAATTGATTTATTTCCTCTTATAACAAATCATTTTCATTTAAATTTAATGTATTTTTATAAATTATTTTTACAGATAAATCTTACTATATCTAGTTAATTAATTTTTTTATTTATTTTTTTTTATTATGTTAATTTCAATAAATTATAAAAAAAATTTTTTTAATTACATATGTATCTAAAGTATTTTGACATGTTAATAATAATTATTATATAATATAATAATTATGATTACATTTTAATTAAATATAATAATTGGTTTGGAAAGTAAAAAATAATAATTATATATACTTTTTGATTTATAATATTAGTAATAGCTTAGATTATATGTTGAGTTTAAAATCAATTCTATCAAAATCAAATTAATCAAAAATTGAATTAGAATTGATTTAATTGAAAATTGAATAAAAAAATCAAATCTATTTTAATAGTATAATAATGTAATATAAAGAAAATTTAAGCGTGATAGCTTATTTAAGAAAATAATAATAAAATAAAGTGAATGATTAAAAAAAATTCAATCATTTGAAAAATTAAACTAAAAAATTTCATATTGTATATATCCTTTATCAAAATAAAAATTAAATAAAAATTAAAAAATAATTTTTAAAAAAAATAACATGAACTAAAAAAAAATAAATAAAAATAAAAATTGATTTCAATTCTAGCTTTGATTAAATTATGATCAAAAATTATTTCTTTATAAAAATAATTTAATTATTAAAATTTAAAATTAAAATTTATAATCAAATATTATTAATTATAATTAATAATCAATTCCATATTTTAGAATTAAATTTAATCTCTAATTATATTTATACTTTTTATTAACTAATTTAAACAGTTATTTTTTATTAATTTAAATTATTTTTTTTTGGTTTTTATTTAATATAATCCTTAAATAATAAATAAAAACTTTTTAAAAAATCTTAAAAATCTTTTAAAACAATTTTTGTTTTTAATAAATCTAATTTTAAATATTTTAAAATACATTATATAATTAAATAATTAGTATATATATAAATTTAAGTTATTAATAATAAATTTATAATTTAAAAACAAATATATTTAATTTATATACTGTATTTAGTAAATAATAATTAATTTATTGCATAATTTAGTTTATTAAATAAATTTTATTTTTCTTTTTAAATAAATATAAAATTTATTTATTTAACTTATATTTCCTAAAAATAAACTATTAACCTTTTGCTATAAAGGTATTTTACTCTTAAAAGTCTAAAATAAATGCTATAAAGTCAAATATATGTTATGATTTATTTATAAAATAATTTGCAGTTTATCAACATAATTAATTATATAATAAAAGAATATTATATAGATATAAAAATATAAATTACACAAATTATATAATTTATAAACTGCTAATATTTTGTAATTGTTACTTATTTAAATCAAACGATATTGCACCACTTGATGTTTTGTAATGCGTGCTCTATAAAAAATACAGGTTAGCCTTGCTAGAATTGTATGAAATTATCTCATCCCGATTGTTTACTAATGCTAACTTACCCTGCGGAATGCTTTCTATATCAATATTATACTTTAGTAAAATGTCATATGAGGAATTTTCGATCTCCTCAGCAAAGTCTGCGAGAACTGTTGCCGGGCCTCCCTTCATCCCGTAACGTTCAAGCTTTTGTTCAGTTAGCTTGAAAAAAGATCGACCATTAATTTCCTCTTTGCGTAGAATTTTAAAATGAGCTTCGTTTAGTTGTAAACCTTTTGCCCTTCTTAAAAAAGTTATGAGTTCTTCTGTTTTATACTTATTGATCACATCAACAAGATCACAAATGTCCCGATCTTTACAGTCTCGTTTATAGCCATGAATGTCCCGATCTCTTTCACGGTCTCGTTCACAGTCAAGAACGTCATGGTCACGATCACGGTCGCGATCACAGTCAAGAACGTCACGGTCACGATCACGGTCGCGATCACAGTCAAGAACGTCACGGTCACGATCACAGTCAAGAACGTCACGGTCACGATCACGGTCACGAATGTCCTGGTCTTTCTCACGAAGTTCAAAATCATTACGATCAACAGGATCGATAATTGTGGCAGTGTTATCGCGGACGATGTTTTTGGAAATTATATTATTGATACTCTCTGGTGTCTAATAATGTAAAAAAAAAAGTGAGAAAGAACACGATCTAGACAGCCAAACTGAAATAAACCTACCAAGTAATTTACTCTCCTTCTTGTACCAAAATAAAATGAAGGCAAAAATCTTATATTTCTCGATGAAAATTGAAGTTTTCGATCTTTGGCCCAGTTAAAAAATTTGCTTGATAGAATTATATTGTTAAAGTGAATGAAGCCGTAACTAGAAGGAAAAATAATTATACACCAGCAAATATACAAATTTTAAAGAGGAGTAATATTGTTAAATTATTTATTGCACTCACCCCAATCCTATATCTTTGCGTATATGGGTAAACGGAACGGGCGTTTCTTTTAGAAGCCATTTTTCTAATTTTACTGAGGTTAAGGGTTGAATATCTCCGCATATCATTACAGATTGTTCGACTTTACCGCAACAATATCTCGGTCTATACCTGGGAAGGGCTGAAAAGAAAAAAAAAAGTTATGAACATGTTTTTAAAATAAAGGATTCATGAGTCGCGCATTTCACGAACTGGAATGGATAAAGAGGCACGCTCACGAAAGATCCGGAAGAGTGACGCATTCCAATAAATAAGGAATGGATAAAGAGG